TAAACTTCTCAACTTAAACTAGGTTGAAGGAAGCATGCTGCTTGCAAAACAACAGTACAAATTAATTAAGCAGAAACATAGTAAAGTCACAGGCATCATATATAAACTTTTAATTAAATCATCTCTGCATGGTTAGAGACACTAACAATCGCTTTGTTCATCGGGTTTGGCGTAAAGTTAGAAAAAGTGAAAACTATGTAAAAAGTCACGTGAAAAAATTTTCTAAAATTTTATTAAGAATAAAATTTCAGTCACATACTATTTTGAAGACAAAAGAAAATAAATGAATTACCAATTTCATTTACATAAAAATTTACATTTTTAAAGATCAAATTGTGCAGTTAAAAGTCATTAGTTAAAACAATAGTCGGCATATTTTTAGAAAAAAAGCACAAGAGAATAATGATAATAGAGTTTTCACATAATAAAATGACAATTTGATTTAATATTATTGGGCAATAGTGAATTATTAGATATTTTTTCATATTTTATGACAAGTTTGATATTTTTAAACACTTATTTAGAAAGTTTTGGTAAAAAGTTATTTAATTTTTTATAATTCTGGCACTGTAATATGCAAGATGCTGTTAGTTAATTATCTTTTTCTCTATATTTCGAAAAATAAGTCGAATTGTGCTTAGGCTGTTTATTTTACTCTATCGACAGCACAACTTCAATGTTTTTCTCCATTTTTCTAATAATATTAGGTACACATAACACTATTTATTAAAATTTAATCCCTTAGTCTGCGTATTTTCTACCAACCACCGTATATGTACATATATAGGTAAGTTTATCAAATTTGTGTCCATGTCAAAACTGTGATGTTATAAAACGTCGGAATATATTTCGGTCTATTAAACATTAAACAACTTTTGAAAGCTTCGCACAGTCTGTAAAAGTGTAGTTTATGGAACAAGTTCGTGGTAGTTTTTTTCGTCAGTGTCTGTAGAGCGAGACGCTGTTGTATATTTTGCTTTACTTTGGTGACTTTGTTGTTGTTTGTGTACTTTATTACCCTGTGTGATAGGCTACTCCTCAGAGAAAGCGGAAAGTTTCACTTGGGGTAAGAACATAAAGAGGTTTCTTAATTTCGAGATTGTGATTTGAATATGAACTAAAAATATGTGGTTAGTTTTTACCGTCCACAAAAGGGGAGTATTCTTAAATATACGCAATAGTTCAAAGACGAAATTGTAAAGATTATTCTTTAAGTAAAAACAACAAACAAGTCATGTGAACCTAAGCCCGCAAATACTTAGTTTTTTGAGATGCAGAGATGAAATTTTATTACTATTTCGTTTTAGTTATTATCATATTTTACATGCTTCCTGGTAGGTGGATTTGTACTAACAGTTTTATTTTCTTAACAATTTTTCCAGGTTATTTCATGATTAAACTAAAGTAATGATGAAGGAAACTGTCCAGTCTCCAAATTACATGTAGTATCGTAAGGCTCTTTCTGTTTTTCAACTGTAAAAATTAAATTAGCGCCGAATTACATTCGTAAGTACTAATCATTTTAACTTAGGCGACTAAATGTCTGGTCCGACAATGTTATAAGTTGCCTAATCCATTAGTGTCATTCTTATTTGCCTTTATATCTCGGGGAATTTATTAATAGGCAACAATTAAATTGCTTGAATTAATTGACTACTTCGCAGTAAGTTGATTTGAAGGCAGAAGGCTTTTAATTTAGTCCATGAAACTACATTAAATTGTTGATTTCCATCGTTATTACTAATTAATTTCACTAGGTTTACTTTTATTTAACTGATAAGTACAGTATGATTTATTAGAACCAAGCAACGTATTTCTGATTGTCTCTAACCATACAACAACTGTGAAGTTAGCTAATATTTATGTATATCATAGAACCATCCACCAGGCATGTGTCCTTGAAATTTTCAATGTGTTTAGTTCAAATAGTAGTTAACATACAGCTATAGGTATTTAGATCAAAATAAAAAAGGCTTCATATTCCCAATTTGAAATGCAAATCTATTTTTTTTATTAAGTGATTAAAATGAACTGTATATAATATGGAAATGAAATAAACTAGAAATTTGCATAAACTAATTATGAAATAATGAAGTAAATATAATATGACTGGGAATTCCTTCTATTTCAGGTTGTGGTTAAAGAACAATTCATGTACCGAGTTTATGGAGAGATTTATTTAAACCGTATTGATTTCAAGTAACACCGCCTTAAAGATCAAAGGGGGTTTATTCACCTAAATTTTGGGGAAGTACAAAGCAAAAAATAAAGTATCAAATATACTGGAAACTTCAACTCGTCTTTTGACATCAGAGAAGATGGTGTATTGGGTAATAAATCAAATCCGCTTTTGTATACATCCAGCGATTTGGATTACAGAGTTGACTGCCAAATCAGGTCGATATATGCTTATTCGTTCAATAAGAAGTGACTGTAGGAATAGAGGATAACATAGAACTAGAATGTTTGCTCGTTTCACATGTAATATAGTTTACTGAATAACTATTTGACTTCTGAATATAATAATAAACAAGGCATACATTTATAAACAATTACGTGCTAAAGTATTGCATATATAATTAGAATAAACATATTTATTTAAAAAGCATATAAAAATGGTGAATATTGCCTTGGATTTTATTTTGAATAATTTTTTATTAACTGTTTAGTGCAGAATGCAAACATAATACTCTTTTAATGTTTTGTTTTATTTTAGGGCATACATTTATAAACAATTACGTGCTAAAGTATTGCATATATAAATAGAATAAACATATTTATTTAAAAAGAATATAAAAATGGTGAATATTGCCTTGGATTTTATTTGAATAATTTTTTATTAACTGTTTAGTGCAGAATGCAAACATAAAACTCTTTTAATTTTTTGTTTTATTTTTTCATTTATTTATATAAAAGTACAGCTCACACAACTAAACTATTTAGAACTTTCCAGCACTTCCGGTGGTACCGGAAGTCGACACCAACTTCGTTATTTTAAATGGGACACCCTATATAGGTATAATTACATTTTCGTATTCTACGTGAAATTTGAGGGTCACTTTATTAAAGGTGACCGACCTTGTACATAGTTAATTTAACTAAAATAAACCTGACCTGATGTACTTAACCTAATGTAATATTAGTGGGTCAAAATGCCTGAATAATTGAATATCTATACCAAATATGTAGGACCAGAAAGGTTGGAAAGGTTGGGATAACCCTCGGGAACGAATTTCTGGAATCAGAATAAAACGATTTGGACCAACTTATTTACGAAGAGATACAGAAGTCAACGCCTGTTGAGATATAGGCTCACTGAATATCGTACCTCTAAAATTGTATTAATTTTATTACCTAACAGACAAAAAAATTTCGCAGCACACAACAAATATCGTTAAAAATAATAATCAATAAAAAAAAGTAATTTCGATATTGTAGGTGTACGAGTAAAACTATTATCGGATATTCCAGAGGAATAAATGCATTGATATGTATTTAAATAAAACGTTTCCATTTTCTGTAGACCATCTTCATGAATCATACTGTGAGTTTCATAAATCTCCATTGTTGATTCAATGTTCTGTAACACGTATACTTTCCAACTTCACAGAGGGTGTAAATTAAGTGAATCTTAAACCAATTTCGCTCTAGCTACATCCTTTATTGAGTTAACTTCGTCAAGGGTATTACAATTTTAATGTCTTCGAGATTTACATTGTGTATATTAAAGCGAGACTTTCCTACTAGATAAGTAAACATTCTCATATGCACCGCACATCAAATTTTATTAGCGAAGCCATTTTCCAGACATCCCTCTCTTAATAAAGTTATCATGAACTTTATCGGTTCATTAGTCTATATATAGTTGTTGTCTGAGAGCTCAAATTTGATTAAACATGGGGACTACAAGGGGTTGTTCCTTTCCCAAACATTTACAGAATGTCTTCGGAACCTCCACATACTAATTTGCTTTTCGATGACAATTATAAAAAACTGTGTTTTATTATTAAATAGTGAAGATATTTTTCGTAACGCCATTTTTTCGTTTTGATTTACAGTAGGACACTACATATCTTTTGAAAATATACTGGCGACCGAAAAATTAAAAAATTTGAAGGCCTGTAACTCAAAAACCAAATACTTTTATTTAACTTCTGTCAGGCAGCATTTGAATGTTTTCTTTTAACTTTGGGGTTTGAAAAGGAGCAACATTTCTTTAAGGAATATCTAATTCAATCGTCCTATTTTAAGCAGTGTTCCATTCTTAATGAAACAGCCTGTATAGTTTTCAGACATAAAATTCAATCAGTTTAATCATAAAATGCGTAGTAAAATGAATAATTCCGTGATTATTGCCAAAAAATCTTCTATAGTATTTATGTTTTATCCTGAAATAAAGTTCATATCGATATTAACGTAACGCAAACATATGTTTGTCTAAAAAATACTGCTGGATAACAGCGTTGTAAACCTGGAAATACAGATAAAATAAATAGAAGTGCTTTATTAGAACAAAAAAAAAGTGTGTATTTTATCCAGTTTGTAACAGAAAAATGGGCAGTAAACCTACATATTTCACAGATAATTGAATTTGTCGAAATGATGATGATATAAACGAATTTGTTGTAGAGAAAAATAGTGCCTGGGCATTAAAAAAGTAGACAATTTCGAACTAAATTTAATATTGATTGGATTGGCCCTCTTTGTCGACAGACTTTTTGATATATGACACACAACATCGAAATTTAAATTTAACGATCTGCTTGACACTTGGGACTCCTATTGCAGCTTTTTATGTTACCTGATATGGCATACACAGGTAGGTACGCGTATATATGTAGATGAATATCAAAGCTACATGAACATTTTTTTTAATATCTGTGGTTGGTTTAAAAAACGAGTAATACATAAGGGGTATGCCATATTTTTTTTATCTACTTGTCGCCGATATTTTTCTTTTACGATTTTTTGTGTTAAATAAGTATAATTAATTAACTTACCTTAAAAATTCCGTATAATAGTACTATGCTTAGAAAAATCATGAAGAGTTGCGTTCCTATTATAGCTAAGTAAGCGATCTGTACACCTGAAAAAGAAAATAAAAATTATTTTTTTATTGAAGCGTAACCTCGGACATATCCTTCAATTTATTGAAACGTTTTGACATTTTAGTACGAAATAATTACCGCCAAAGCTGATATAATCAAATTAAACTATAGTCGTAGACGTCTGGTTTTGAAGTTAAGTTATTGATGCTTCTTATCTAAAAGTTAGTACTACATTCTAATTTAGCTTTCCCAGAAATTCCTCTATGCCAAATTTGAATAAAATATCTTTATAAATGCTCAAACTAAGGGTATCCCCTTTTTTAACTTTAGAACCTGACGTCTGTCGCTAAAATCAATGTGGCTCAATAAAAAATGAAACACACCGTTCTTAAAAATAATTTCAACGAAATTCAAAAATGTTTTAGAGCTTCTCGTGAGCCATCTATAAAAACAGGGTAGCCCATCGAAAACGTACCGCAAAGCCTTACAGGGCAGTAAAGAATTTTTCGGTAAAATCCAAAAACAGGTCAAATTTGTTTCTGAGGGGGACTACTTTTGGCTCAAAAAGCATACCAAAATCTTTAACCCCCTAAGTGGGGGTGCTATCCCCTAAATTTTTTCAAATGGAAATGGGGGTCAAGTGGGGGGTCATTAGAAATGGCTTTTAATTCTCTATACATCGATTCTTACTTTTTGAAAATCGATTCATTATTTTAGAAAATATGCAGCTTTGAAAATACGAACAATATTTTTGACGAGAAATGCGAAAGTCGATTTAATTTTACTTCAAAACTTACGGTATTAGTCAAGTAAATGCTGAAAATGTTGTCCGCCAACTTGCATACAATGATACAGGTTGTCTTCAAACCGTTGTCGAACATTCTGGAGCACTTGCGGTGATATCGCGACATACATTTATGATTCATCCTCGCAGATCTTCCAAGGTATCAGGTGGAGTGCTGTAAACTTTGCTTTTAATGTGACCCCAGAGAAAGAAATCTAAAGGATTTAAGTCGGGTGACCGAGGGGGCCACTCAATTGCACCTCTTCCTCCTATCCAGCGTCCTGGAAACGTCTCATTTAGGTAATTGCGCACATTGAGCGAGTAATGTGGAGGAGCTCCGTCTTGCTGGAAATTCAGTTCGTGTTCATTGTAAGCAGGGTCGTCCTCTATGATGACATTTTCTAGTAAATCCAAGTACATATCGCCTGTCAAATTTCCAGGAAGGAAAAAAGGACCTACAATGGAATTTCCAAAAATACCTGCCCATACATTCAACTTCTGGGGGTGTTGGGAGTGTGTCTCATGGAAAATCCTTGGATTGGTATCAGCCCAGTAACGACAATTATGGCGATTCACTAAACCATTCAAGAAGAACGTACACTCGTCCGAAAAACACACATTAAAGAGGAAATTATCGTTTATCGCTCGTTCAGTCATTATTTCGCAAAATTGCGAACGACGATCAAAATCGTCTTCATTTAGCTCTTGCACTAGCCGAATCTTATAAGGATGGAATTTGTATTTTTTTAATATTCGTTGGGCACTTGTACGACTCACTCCTATCGCAGTAGCCAATTGCATTGTACTCAGCGTACTATCCATTACCACTTGCCCCAATACCTCTATTTCCGTAGGTTCATTTAGTTCATGTAGTAGTTATTTTAGTAGTAGGATTTTCAACCTGCCTCTTTTTGTTATGAACGGAGCCAGTTTCGCGAAAGGCCATCAATTCGCGAACAATTTTTCCAGACGCATGTTTCTCAGGATGCCGTTGGTTGAACAGTTCGGCGACTCGATTTCCGCATTCATTGTTTTTGAAAAAAAGCTTAATAATTTCTACTCTTTCTGGAATTGAGTACACCATAATTAATCAATTTAAAAGACTCGGCAGTATTGCTACTCTTCAACTACAAGTCACAAGACAGTTATCTAGCAACTTCTTGTGGCCTACCTAAATACGAAACAAAAAGCGTACAATTTTTTGCTCACCAAAATCAGGCTAAAGAATTCGCAAATCAGAAAAAAAAACAGCGAATTATTTTGAAGGAATTTACCAAGCTAATACCGTAAGTTTTGAAGTAAAATTAAATCGATTTTCGCATTTCTCGTCAAAAATATTGTTCGTATTTTCAAAGCTGCATATTTTCTAAAATAATGGATCAATTTTCAAAAAGTAAGAATTGATGTATAGAGAATTAAAAGCCCTTTCTAATGACCCCTCACTTGACCCATTCCCATTTAAAAAAATTCTCTAAAGGCTATGTGTCCCAGACTTCATTATCTAAATATAATATTAGTTTTCACTAAAATATACAGTACAAGAACCCTTGCAAGGATCATCCAAGAAAGCGAATAAAACCTAGCTGGCGGTGATCACTTCACCTAAAATATTTTTGATCTACCACTTGCTGCGGCTTGTATTGTCTTTGAAAGTAACTTTGTTCTAGTGAATCCAGCTCTAATATGCCTGGACATTGCTTTAAGATGTCTGATGACTGAATTGAAATGAATTCAAAATGGCAATATAGAAAAGTAAATTTACTTATTCATTTATTTTTAATGAGATTCCACCACCACGTTCAGTGCAATTGTAATAACTTTTTTCAAAATTATTATCAAAAGAAGTATACATATATATATTATCCATACTAAATATCTAGATATCATAAATTGTATAATCATATGCCATCGTGCAGATTCAATCCAAAGTAGTAAGTGTTCAATATCATTAACTTCTGTCATACACATTTTTTAAAATAATCTCGGAAATAAGTCTAAAGGGTTAAAGTCAGGAGGACCAGAAGGCCATGAAATAAGATGTAAAAATTATGTAAAAATTATATTTATTGACACATCGAAAGGTACTTTTGCAGAGAAGAGAAAGCAGGTAAGTGAAAAAATTATTTGCGTCCAAAGGTTCAGTAGCATTTTGTTTACATTCAACGTATATTTGTATATCAATATATATCCACAAATTCATGATTACTCTAAATACACGCCATAGTAAAAAGCACTAGCTTCTAGTAATCAATTATAATTGATTACTACAATTTTACCCATATTAAAATGCAAAATCTATATCTAAAAGTATTCCCACAATTTTATTCGGTACGAAGCTGGCAATATTCCATATACTCCTGTTGCTGAGTGCGACACAACGCTTCCGTAGACTTTAAAAATTGACCCGTTACACATTATAAAAGGGTTTCTCTTTGTCAAACGTTTGTTGTAGGCGTACAAAGTATGTACATCTTCCCTGCTAGAAATTTAATTATAGAGGCCTAACTCTACATGAGGCGGATGTTCGCTCAAAGGGAAATATAATATTGAAAGCTTTTTAAATTTAATGATGTTGACGTGAAGCTAACGCGCGTCCGGCTCGACCCGCAAAATATTACAAAATATGTGTGTAATAGAGTATTTCGGAAGAACTAAATGTATAGAACCTGTAGAGTGGAACAGTAGTGTAAATATTAGTGGACCAAAAGCTGGTACGATGGTACTGGCGCAAAAATATTTGGTGCAAATCTTAGATTCATAAGATTTATATTACTGGGAAGCAGAACAACTGTTTTCCAATCTGAAATACATGACATTGAGTTCTGTCTATGGAATTTAGAAGGGAATATAAAGAGAAAAAAACCTTATCTATTCTGATAACCAATAGACCAGGAAATATGCATGCATAATTCTTCGGTCAGGCTGATTTTTTGTGATCAGATAGTAAAAATAGTGTAGAATAATATGTACCGTATCCGCACCCTGAAAGAGGTGGGCGACATTGTTTAAAAGTTGATCAAACATTCGCGTTTTTCGACTGTAACTTTTTTCTGACGGTTCTACAGAGAAATGGTAAATTTCTTTTTTGTTCGCATTTAAAAGATCTACAAAACGACGTCTCGAGCGTCAAAAAATCAATCCGGTCAAAAGTTACTTGCGAAAAAACGCCAATTATGCCATTTTAAATAAACAATAAAAAATCGCGATGTTATCACCGAGACTTCTTCGGATAACACTCAATCATTCCTCACCGCAGACCAATAATTTATGCGAAATCCGGAATCCGTAAGTGGATTATTTCCCGAGTTATGGCATTATAAACAAATTAGCTAATTAACGGATCTGAGCGGTAATTTTTTTATTGATAGATTTAACAAAAAGCTATCGAGTTCCATTGTTCGTTCTCAAAAAAATGCATTTTTATAGCGAAGGGAAATTATTTAAAAAATTTCCTTAGTTGCAAAATTAAATACGCCCTTAATTTATAATTTTTTAGTATTTTAATACATGTACTAAAAGAGCATAAAAGAACTTCGATTTGAAAAAAGATGAGATAACACAAATGGGCGCCAAAGCATGAAACATTAATATGTAATGAAGAAGCAGATACTCTAGCAAGAAAAGGATCTACAGGAAGTCCTGAACCTGGCACTATAACTGCGTTGTTGGAACAACAACAAGTAGCATTGAAATCACACCAAAATAAAAGAGCGGCAAATCGATTGAGTGTTTTGTAACAACTTTTATCAAATTAGATTATATAACCAGTGATATTAATTATTGCAGATGAAATTTAATATATAAAAATCAAACATAAAATAACATGCATATTAATTTAAAGAACATTGTAGCAATATACATAAATTTGATATCCATTCGTACACGGACTGAACCGGCCTGACCTAAAACTGTTTCCACTTTCGTGCCCGTATTTATTAAATTTGTGATGCATATTCAAGATATATCACATATTTGCATAATCCGAGTCCCAAAAACTCTGTTTATAAAATTTGAAATACGATGACAGATTATTGTAATAAATATTTAGGTAGGTATCCACATGTGATAGGAATTTTTAATTAATCATGCGCATATTAAAGGAAATCCTTTAGTGATTCCAAAAGTATATGACGACGCAGATTGCAAATGATAATTTGAGTGCCTGTTTTAGTATAAATGATAACCTCGACTACTATTTGTATTAAATGCAATATTTTTTTATATTATATTGGAATTTCATATTGGATAACTTAA